ATTTTATTTCTCTTTTTTGAAATTGCTTTTCATAATCCCATATTCACTACAGCAATTTCGAAAAAGACAAATGACACCAAATCATTTACAGTTACAAAAGAATTTCTGCTTATTTGGTGCATCCTTTAGGTAATTCTAGTGGAACTTGACTTTAAATGAGTCATGCAAGTAAATCTTGCCATTTCGGCATTTTGGAAAGGCCAGAAAGAAACTTGGACTATTCCAGGAAAAAATATTAGTCTATGTTTAAGTAAGTACCTTAACAACTGCCAAAAGTCCAACTCACTACCCTAATAACAGCATTGAGTAAATCTGATATGCTATTAGCAATAGTTTGAGAATTCCAAATTCCTTACGTTAGTGATCTCTATCCCTTTTTTCATCATTTTGCTGTATATTTACTGATTATCCACTGTTGGTTGGCATGCTCAATGCTAGGGATATACCTATGATTACAACTGATAATATCTCCAGAGTTTGAATTCTCCTGGAGAGATATATACAAGCAATAATTAAACAAATGTGTTAAGGAAGTGTATTAGAGAGTGTATTAAGTACTACAGACACAATAAACAGTTTGGGGAGGTGCTAATTTTCATGGGGTTCAGGGAGGGCCTGTTATTATGTAACATTTGATCTGAAAACTGGACATTCAGAGAACCTGAGTATGAGAATTCCAGGCAAAGTGCAAGTGCAAAGGGCAAGTTCAAAGGCCCTGCGGTAGCAACATTGAGATTTGTTTGATGAATGGCAATAGAGGCTGGTGGGGCTGAAAGGCAGTGTACTCTGAAAAGAAAGGTACAGACAGAGGAGTGACAGATGCAGGAGGCACACCATGGCTCATAGGCACAGCAAGAAGTTTGCTTTTATTCTAAGAGTAATGGGAAGCTATTGAAGGGTCTGATTTATATTTAACAATGATGATTTGGGCTCCTGTCTGGTGAATGGAGTGTGCGCGTGTGTTTATGTGTATGCACACGGGCTCAGGGAGGGTGCCAAGAGCGGAAGCGGGGCTATGAGGCAGGAGGCTCCTGATCTGCAATAATATCCAGGCAAGAAGTGATGATGGCCCAAACCTCACAAAAGCCACAGAGATGGAGTAAAGTGGGAAAATGTGACATATTTGGAGTTAAAATGGATTCTTGCTACAAATGGAAGAGAAAGGGGTGAGGGTGGGAAAGAGAGAAGTCTAGATTTTCTGAAGTTAGGTGCCATTTAATGGAGTGGGGCCCAGTTCTGTTTTGAACATTTGGCCAGCGTTGGCCTGTGAGACATCTACCTGAAGAGGTCAGGTGGACAGATAGATAGAGGTGCTTGAAGCCCAGGGGAGAGGTCTTAGCTGGAGAAACAAATTTGGGAGTCAATGTCCTACACAGTTCCTGGCAGACCACCCAGGCACACACTTGGTAATTAATAAATGCTTATGAAGTGACTGATTGATAATTGATGGAAAGAGCAAGTGAGAATTCTGTAATCTGGAAGATGTTTTGAACCTCTTGGCAAGGAGCATTCAGGAAATGCCAGCAGAGTGCCAGGTGCCGTGGCTGCTCAATAAATATTAATTTGCAGCGATGAATCCCCAGAAAGCAATGAGCTGTTATTTCAGAGCTGACCCTGCCTGGCTTCACTGGAGCCGGAGCCATTGTTCAGCTGCTTGTACCTTCTGTTCCTTATCCCCAGTATCTTTTTTCCTGGTGGCTTAATTCCTGACCTGGGCATCTTGCTTTGTTTGTAATTGCTACCTTTTTGCCCCTACATTTGGAGAACACTGTCATCGCTCTGTCTCTAATCACTGTCTCAGAGCCTGCTCTTTACAGGTTTCTGAATCTGCTGTGAATCATGAACATTAATTGAGTACCTATTATGTGCCAGGCACCATACTAGACCCTTGACACATTTATGCCCTTTATAGCAACCGTGCAAAGCAGATGTTCACCCTTGGGTTAGGCCTTAATCTCCCTGAGAGAGTAAATGGTTGGCTCTAAGTCAGGTAGCTAGAAAGTGGTAGAGCAAGAAGTCAAAACAAGTCCAAGCTGACTCTGCAGCTGAGCTCCCTGCCTTCCTAGATTTTCTAAGCTTGTTGGATTTTTCCTGTTGAATCAGTCTATACCCTTGACTCACCCAGCTCCCCAGCAAAGTCCATTAGGTGGTCGGCATCTGTTGACAGCCACCATGTATCAAGTCAGCCTGCGTCTGTGGCACCCTGGAGTGACAGTGTTCTATATCTCTGTAATTGCACACATCGCTTGGTGCTCTAATGTGGGTGTTTATCACGTTGAACTGGAGGCTCCTAACCTGAGAGAGGCCCATACTCAGGAAGGTATTAATCATCAGAGAAACAAGAGAGATTGAGTATATTGGAGCCACCCAGCCAGGGACCAGAGAAGAGATGGGTAGGAGGACTGGGAGCTTTATATAAAGGGAAGACATAGGCATTTAATAGTTAGCTAAGGGGTTAGATGAAACAAAAAAAATGTATACAGAAAAAATTATAACTTATTGTTCAAAAGAAATAGCCTTTATGGCTTTATGCAAATGTGTTAATAAAGCTGCAGTCTCTCTGGCCACACACTCACACGGAAAGGCTTTCTGTCTTCATTAGGCATGTCCCCCAAGCAGGCAGGCGTGTTCCAAGGCAAAGAGAAATTTAACTAAATGCCATCTGTAGTAGGAGGCATAGTTTCACCATCTTCCGAGAGAAGGCAGCACCTTCACCCACAAGAAGCCAGGTCCTGGGAGGCTCAGCAGTTTGGGCAGGAGTTATTTGCTGTTAACATCATAATGGAGGACAAAGTAAATGGAAGCCACCCCTGCTGGCATTCCCCTGAGCAGCACCTGTTCTTCCGGTAAACTGGACCCGTTATCAGCCGACACCTGCCTGGCTGGATGGGCCCGGCGCTGCCTGCTGAGCAAATGGTTAGGCTTCCTGGCAAAATAGGTATGGAGTTCCTAGAGGCAAGCTACTTATGGATCAAGCATCAACCAGCTATCACCTATGAATGGATCAAATGGGCAAAGGTTGGAAGGTGAAGAGCTTGGCTGACCAGACAGACAAGAGGGGAAGAAAAGTGACACAGGCACCACATTCTTTAGTCCCAGCAGATGGTGACGGCTGTGCAACATTAACAGATATGTGGCGGACTCTCACCCGCCGGATGACTGAAGAGTGTCGGTGGAACCCCAGGAAGAATTTCCATGAGGATAGTCTAAATCCACCTATCTCCACTGCTGACGTTCCATCAGACTTAGAGGACAATTGACATGGTTCCAAGGATTTTGATTAACAGCTGATTTCTCTCTCTCTCTTTCCCCCTCTCTGTCTCTCTCTCTTTCTCTCTTCTCTTTCACACACACACATATACACAAAGAGGTAAACTCTTAAACATATATTTAATTACATCATGGTTTTGTTTTCTTTTACTACGACACTCAAAATGCCAATGGCCAAGTTCTTTGCTGTATTCCCAGCCCCTAGACCGGAGCTGAGACAGAGCAGCTCTCCACACGTACTTACTGACTAGATGGACAGATGAATGGCTACTTAGATCCCCTTTGGTCTCAAGTGCTGGTGCCCAGCCTTGCCTGGTGCCTTTTTACTAACACTCCTAGATAGAGTCCTTAGTTGTATTCTAATGTTACAAATATTCTTTTCATTGAGATATTTAAATGCCTCTACCCCTCTAAAAATGGTAATAATTTTTCTGATGGAGAAAATTTGAAAATTTTCTAAATGAAAGGTAGAAGTGAAGGACTTTTTAGCAATGTGTTTCTTAATTCTCACTGAGAACACACTTATTTAGTGCATCTCATGCAAAAATGTATATTTATTCTATTTTTTTCTTATTTGAATAATATGGAATGTTGTTGAATTTGATTAATATATTATTGAATGTATCATTTGAATATATTGGCTGCAGAGTTTGTGATAGGACAAGATCAGAGTACCATATAAGTAGAACTCATCTTAGATTTTTTTCTTAAGTATCAGATATTTCCTCCTCTTCAGACACATTCCTCCGATGAGAAAGTCTACCCCGTACTAAAATCAAGATTACTTGATGAATTTCATTGCCCTTCATCAAAAGTAAAATTTTATGTATAAAACCTTATTAAACCATGATAAGTTAGCGCTGAGTATGGGTATGTATGTACCTAAGTCTTTGAAACAGGTTCAAACCAGATCCACAAAGTATTGACGTTCAAGGATGAATCACAAGAGTGCTGGAATTGGAGCCTTTACCCTTTGATAAGGCATACATGGCACTTTAAAAGCTATCTGCTACTCTATATTTAATCAAAGTAATAATAACAAAAATAAGCAAAGACCCTTGGGTCTTTGGTTTGAAGGATATTAATTTTGCTGTTAAAGAAACTTGTCAGGATAAAAATAGAAAATAGAGCCTTCGTACTGCCTTTCAAATCTTGTTGGCATCCCACGTGATCAGAGAACTGATTAGTGAAGGAGGGCTAGGGAATGTTCTGTGGGCCCGTAAGCATTTTTATGAGCTGATATATTTTTTAAGCTATCTCTAAGAATAAAAACAGAGTCACTTTTCTTGTAAGCCTTTATTGTTTTTAAATGTCAAGAAAATATGACAAAGCATAAAGATTTGCTAAATATGGGTATTGAAAGTACCCAGACATTTATTATTCTCTGTACTTTCTCTGCTGGAAACATTCCATAATAAAAAATGCTAAAAGAATAAAAATGACATTATCAAATAAAACAACCAGAATATGCGTTTTGGGGGGTTTACGAAGGAAGTTTAAGTTGCTTCTGCAATGGTTAAAAATGTGAGATATCTGATTCCTAGTTAGTTAGTATTTTTTAAATAATGTCTGATTTTAAAATATAGATTATGAAGATGTTAAATTCGTTGACACTCTAACAAACGTTAAAAGAACTCAACTCCCAGGAAACCTGAAATCTCTCTGTATCAACATAGGGCTGACAATTCATCATATTTAACAAGGTGTATTGGAAATAGCTGAGTACTGACCTCCCGAGGACAAATGATCCTCTTGGGACGAGGTGCCTCTTGCTGTAACTGATATACTGCCAAAAAAGAAAAAGAAATAATTAGAATTAGAATACTGCAATGCATACCAACATGCCTTCAAATATTTCCACCTAAGTACATCTCAAGAACTGCAAATATTAATATAAAAAACGAGATACAGACACATTTTTGATACTGGATAAGGTCAGGTCATTTATATGGAAATTAGTCATCATGAAGATAAACTGGCAAAATTGATTTTTTTAATTCTTATAAGGCCAATTTAGTTTCATAATTGTTACTGCCACTGTTCATTTCATGGCTTTCTTGGAAGACTAGATATGGCTAAAATTCTTTTGACTATTTTAAAGATGAAATTCTACTTATGAATACCTGAGCAGTAAGATCATATAATAGGATTCCTGAATTTAAATGCTGATGTCTCTTGACATTCCAGGGAAAGAACTTGCATTAGAAGAGGAGTATCATTCTCTGAAATGTTAGTTATGTGCAAAGACACAACTGATTCTGTGAGTAAATGAAATACCAAGTCATTTCTTTCTCTTTTTTTCCCCCTGCCTATCATTTTAAATTCTCATCCATTCAATGACTTCCCACCCATTATCATTCCTCTCTCCTGGGCCCTTTCACGTCTTAAATAATAATAATAACAATAATAATAATAATAATAATCTTCTTCCAACCTGCTTTAAAGACAGACTTTCAGGCTTGGGCTTAGAAGAAAGCAGGTCATTGTATATAATTTCTCAGACTATTATTTGTGATTTTGCAGACCATAATGAGTGATTTTTCTGCTGCTCAGCTAGTCTGGTTATTTTTCTTTGAAGGAAACGCTACCCTATGCAGGTACCTTTGGGTTCTACTTCTGTGAAAATAGAAGCCGAAAACAAACCAAGTTGATGTTATCTTCAGAATCCTGAAGAGGGAAAAATTAATTTTCGATGGAATAAATCTACGAAAAGTTAAAAACTAGATCAATATAAAGTATTTCTAGAAAATGTAATAAGATAAGCAAAACTTTCTGATTTATTCTTAGGGCTAAAAATAAAAGAGAAATTTTAATTGAAGGGCAGATAGTCAGATGGAAACAGAGATAAAAATGATGGAATATATTCTGTAATTATGGCTCCCCAATGCCTTCGGCACAACATGGTTATTTTCTTACCTAATTAAGTGCAGACTACCCAGTTTTAGCACAGAGAAGAAACTATCAAACCCTCCTATAGATTTTTTTGAAATGTGCCACATTTCTAAGCATAGGTTGCCTACACTAATGATGATGCATGTGCCACTTAAGGACAACTGTACCCATATATGAAAGGAAATCACAGTTCAACATAGCCCTTTAGCTCAGAAGGACACCAAAAATGACAGAGAGATAAAAAAGAAAGCTTCTAAATACCTGCCTCTCTACGGAGAAAGAGCCTGCAGATCCTAATGGACCAATGCATGGAAATGGGACCGGGTGGAGGAAAAGTGAGCTGCCTTGCACACGAGATCATCAACCAGGTGGCACATGTTATTCAGCTTGTGCTACCTATTTCCATTGGCTTCCATGGCACCACACTCTCCTGGTTTTCCTCCTTTTATCTTGGCTGCCCTTTCCCCCTTCCTCTTGCTGACTCCTCCTTCTCTACCTGCCCAGTGACCGTAGGAGATACCCCAGGCTTATCTTAAACCCTCTTCAGGTCGCATTCTCTGTTTTCTCCATAAGAAATCTCCTCTACCCCCTACACACAAAAGGCTCCTGCATCTCTGCTCAGAAGCTGAACTTCCTAAAGATTCCCCCTGAATTCCTCAAAAGGACCTCAACTTCAACATGTCAAAAGCTGGACTCAGGATGTTTTCTTCCAAATCTGGGCCTCTTCCAGGAATCCTGACATCAGTGAAGGAGCCATTATGCACCCTATTTCTTCAGCCGGCATCCTAGAAGTTGTTCATCACACATCATATGGGCAGTTTGTCAACAGACCCGTCAACTCTGCTTTGTAAAAGTCTCTCAAGTCTGTCCTCTCCTCTCCATCACTATCAACAATCCCAACTTCAAGCTCTAGACTCTTAGCACGCTCCAGCCTGTTCTCTACCTGGGGGCCAGAGTGATTGTTTTAAAATGTCAATCTGGTCATGTCCCTCCCCTGCTTAAAAGCCTTCCATGACCTCCCACTGCTCTCAGATGAAGATCAAAACCTCTAACATGGTGACACTTCCCTGAATGGTCTTGCTGCCATCTACTTCTACAACCTCATCATGTATCGTGCTGTCTTCTCAGTCAAGTTGGTTTCTTCCTTGTTCCCTAAACGCACAGTGCTCCCTTCAACCTCAGGATCTTTGCACATGCTATTCCTTCTGTCTGTGGTATCCTCCTCTCCTCCTCCTCGACCTCTTATTACCTGCCCTCATCTTCATGACCTAAGTTCAAATATCAGCTTTGTGGAGGAGTCTTTCTTGACATCTCTCACACCAGACCCAAAGACATCACCCTAGTCTCCGCTCTCATAATTCCCTGTACTTTCCTTTATATAACTTATCACAATTGTAATTCTGTATTTATTGGTGTGGGTTCTAGAAACAATTATCTGTCTCCCCACATCTTGTAAGTCCCATCTTGAGGGAAGAGATAGTGTTTGTTTTTGTTTAGTCTTATATCCCTGGTATTTGTCAAGGGGCTGTGGATATAAATACAAATAAAATCACCTCTATTTTCAAGAATCCTATCAGCTTTGGGGGGAGATTCAGAAGTTAGAAATATTTTTATGAAATAGTGTAGTAAATACAAAAGCAGGCAAGGTATCATCTATTCAAGATTATGGGTTACCACTGTCCTTCAGAAGGGAATAGTTAAATGTACGATGGTACATCTTCCAATAGATACCATGTTCCTGTAATAAAGATTGAGAAAGCTCTCTATACATGGGCATGGGATGATGGTCAAGATATTCTGTTAAGTAAAAAGAGCATGGTGAAGATGCACATGCCCACCCACACACACATACAGATAGGACAATGCGATATATCAACGTAGCAAAACTGCACTTGTACCCCATGAATATATACAAGTAAAAATAGATTTAAATTTTTTTTTTTAATTTTAAAAAAGAAAGGGAGTAAAATAATTATATAAATCCATCTTTGTTTATATCTGTGTAAAGAAACTCTGGAAGGAACAAGGAAGCAATAAAAGCAGCTACTCTTAGGGGTTGAAAAGCAAGACAAGGACAGGAGTGGGGAAGAGACTCCTCCATGTATACCTTATTATATTGTTTTGACTTTTGAATCACATGTATGTATTGCTTGATCAAAACAAGAAAACAAGGCTATAGGAGATAGAGTTCAAGAAGGCACATATTTGAAACATGGACTTGGCGGGGGGGGACCAAGGGCAACATACGTAACCTAAACATCTGTACCCCCATAATATGCTGAAATAAAAGGAAAAAAAAAAAAAAGAAGGCTTCTTGTAAAAGAAGAAACATGAGCAAGGGCTGGCCAACCAAAAATGCAGAGACAGTGGTGGGCATTGCATGGCTTTCCCAGGACAGCCCGTGCCCTCCCTAATCACCAGGGAGGCTGCGTGGAGTTCCTTGATTCCTTTCGAATCAGCCCCGATGCTGCTAAACTGCTTTGTAGCAGGATGTTACTGTTAGGAGTAATGAGTGTAAAGGGAACCAAAGGGGCCATCTCCTAGAATCACAGAGGGTTAGATCCAAGAGGAATTGTAGAATTCACATACGGAGAATCCTGTCCACTCTTTTCTTCATGTTGTTAATGCCTCTTGAGGCCAATAGTTATACGTCGGGGACATGGCTGGAATGGTTTTGTGAGCACCGTTTTTAATGAAAGTGGCAAAGAAAGTGGACTTGTTATAAAAGAGAAACATTTTTAGCTAAGTGCTCCTTTGTAATTCATAGCAAGTATGCGAGCATCTGCTGTACGCCAGATCCCACAGTGGGGGCTTTGGGGATGAATGGAGGCAGGGAGAGGAGGAGGGAGGCAGCATACTAAGTGCCTGCCATGTGTCAGGAACAACATTTTATTGAATTGTCATAAGAATACAGAAAAAATAACTGTCATTATCATTCTCATTTATTAGATGGGAAAATAAGTGCAGAGAGGTTAAGTATTTGCCCCAGGGCATCCAGCTAAAATGTATTCTTTTGATTCCAAAGCCCTGGTTTATTTTTCCTATGTCTCGGGGCCTTTGCCCTTACTGTGCCTTCCACCTGGCTTGCTCTTTCCTGAGATATCCACACGGCTCACTCTCACCCTTCACTCAGGTCTCTGCTTCATTCTCACCTCGTCAGAGAGGCCTTCCCTGACTTGCCTGTGTGAAATTCCAGCCCATCACTCTGCTCCCTTATATCGCTTCATGCTTCTTCACAGCATCACCATTAACACCATTAATAAATACAAAGTGGCTGGGCTCACGCCTGTAATGCCACCACTCTGGGAGGCCAAGACAGGAGGATCTCTTGAGGCCAGGAGTTCGAGACCAGCTTTGGCAACATAGCGAGACTCTCATATCTATAAAAACAAAACATTATCTGGGCATGGTGGTGCATGCCTGTAGTCCCAGCTACTCAGGAAGCTGAGGCAGGAGGATCCCTTGAGCCCAGGAGTTCGAGGCTGCAGTGAGGTCTTATCATGCCACTGTACTCCAGTCTGGGTGACAGAGCAAGACCCTGTCTCAAAAAACAAACAACCAAAACTATAAATACTGTATTTATTCATTTTGTGTACTATCTTCCTTGACTAAAACCTAAGCTCTTTGGAGGCAGGGACTTTGCTCTGTCCACTGCAGTATCCTCAGCACTTAGAATAGTGCCTGGCTCATAGTAGATGCTTAATGCATATTTGGTGAATGAACAGACTATATCTAATGGCCCATGGGTCACAACCTGTGCCTGTGAGGAGCCTCTGATTGGTGAGGGAGACATGCATGGAAAAACAAAACCAAGTCGGGCCAAGTGCTTTAATGAGGGGAAGAGGAAGACACCATTCAATTTACTCAGGTGGTCAGGATGGCCTCCCAAGGGGA